CCCTTTCAGCCGTGGGGGTGTTATAATGTGCGGTCAATTCCACTATTCATTGGTAACAGAGCAGTCCAAGAGTTGGCGGTGGGTGGTGATGACTAGCTGCCTTCCCTCTAGTCTTACACTGCTAAATTAGGGACAGCTAGCGCAGATAGCCCTCGTGTAGCCTTTTCGCGAAATTCAAAACAAACAAAGCATAGTAATAATGTGCATATATTGAATACAAAAAATGTAGAAGGACAATATATATAGTTTACCTCCATCATCATCAAAGTGAGAACACGTACCTCTTCTGCTTCATGGAAATCAACGATTACAAAGAGTTTTTGTTTTACTTAAAGGTGGCTGTGTTCACTACAGATTGACTATTAACTTACAAGATGTATGGGATGAAAAACTTCAGCTACAAGTAGTGGGTAAGCAGTCACCTATTATCATTCACATGAACTACAAACCTGTCCAATAAAGGAAGTTTTACCTAATGTGATACTATATGCTACACACAGTTTGTGCTTGCATTGCGATTTCAATAAAAAAAAATGCAGTTTGCGCCATTAGAGCCCAACCACAAGCGAAAAGCTACTTACTTTTGAAATAATTGTAATTTGGCCTCAATATGTCTGCCATAACGTGTGAGCCAAAATATTGTTTCCCATACTTGGAAGCGACTCAAAACCCTTGGAAATTACAAACGATATATAGAAATGGCTGAACAGAGCAACAAACCCAGGAAGAAAACTACTTCCTCATTATACAGATTCTCCAAGACCTTTTGTGACGTTCACAATGCATCTGGGATTCTTGTATCTATCCAAACAACTTATAATAGACTCAAGGCTAGCTTGTGGTCACAGAAAGTCCGTATTAGGTTCCAGTTGGACCAGTGTTAGAGAAAATACATTGAGATTTGACTCAATATCATCTAACTTGGACTGTTTAAAAATGGATGTCAGTGCTCTTGAGGGGTGAATTCAAGATTTGTCTTGACTTTACAGACCACCAGACCAGAAGTTGGTGACGAACTTGGAAACATTATCACAATGCCACCAAAGCTGAGTACGATCGTTAGGAGAATGGTCTGAGGCGACATCAATTTTAATGGCAAGGCTGAACTCCGTGTGTCTCGTGAAAGCTCTATGATAATACAGCGTGAGATCCTAGATAATAACATAAAGGCTGTACACTGGTGCTTGTTGGTTGCATCCTTATGACTGACAATGTTACCCACACTATGTTATGGTTTGGAAGAGTTCCTCCAGATGGAGACTACTGGAGTAGCTTCTTCATGGAAGATAATGTAACCCACATTGTGTTATCGTTTGAAGAGTTCCTCCAGATGGACACTACTGGAGTGGCTTACTTATGGAAGATAATGTAACCCACACTGTGTTATAGTTTGAAGAGTTCCTCCAGATGGACACTACTGGAGTGGCTTACTTATGGATGAAAATGTTACCCACACTGTGTTATGGTTTGGAAGAGTTCTTCCAGGTGGAGACTACTGGAATACCTTCCTCATGGACGATAATGTTACCCACATTGTTCTCTAGATTGAAAGAGTTCCTTCAGAGGGAGACTTCTGGAATAGCTTCTTCATGGATGGCAATCTTACCCACATTGTGCTAGGTTTGTGGACGACTTCATTCAGATGGAAACTGCTGTTTGTATGAAGTAGACTTCTCTAAACATTTTTCAGTTTTAGACCGTGACTTTCCATCAGTTGGAAGATGGGTTTGTGAAGGAATGGAACCACCTACCACAGATCATCATCTGGAGGCTTGTCAGAAGCTGAAACGGATGCCAGACAGTAGTTCATTCCTTTGAAGGAAATGCAATAGCTACTCATATTTTTATTTTTTCGTCATTTGATGTCTTCTAATCAATTTCAAAATGTTCCAGTATGATGGGGAGTATCCTCTTCCATGTTGAGTTGCATGAAAACATGCTGGGAAGGAGGAACTACGGTTTGTTTGAGAACGTGTAAAAAAAGAAAGAAAGGAATTACGCAGATATTACTTGGTTACTAGTCGTATATTATTTACTACATTAATTTTGAGTGTTAATATAACCTAAAAACTGTTTGAAATCCAGAACAGATAGAAATGTAACATTAAGTACCCAGAAAACTTATAATACAGAATCAGTGTGATAATGATATGATATGGGTGGAAGGTGTATTTTAATCATTCTATTACTTCCAGGTTGTATGAAGGAAATTTATGTGAACGGAAAACATTTGGACATCATGGTGGCCAGAGAGCAACGAAGCGTGTCTCCGGGCTGTCAGGAATTCGATGCTCCAGATCCGTGTAAAGATCATCGCTGTGAAAAGGGCAAGTGCTCACCTAAAGATTCGTACACCTACCAATGCAAGTGTCACCGTGGCTGGAGTGGACAATTCTGTAATCAAGGTAGATCTGTCCTAATAACAGTTGTTGAAAGTACTATGATATATGGAATACCAAGAAACTGTGGCTTTAACAGAAAGGAAGAAAAGCATTTGACCAAATTATACTTTTATTTAATGTTATAACCACATACGCTGATTGAAGTTTTAAAGGTGCATTCTTAAAAAAAAATAGGTGTATAATGCAGAAATAGAAGATACACCTAAAATTGTACTTCTATGCATTAATCATATTCATTTGTTACATATTTTTGTTCTACGGTCAAGTCCTAAGAGATCACGTAGCTTTTATTTCTAAAAACTATGAACAGGCTGATCTAAAATCTAATATCTTTTGTTACCAAAAGGCCTAAACTTTGTCATGCAAATCAGGTTAACTGGAAATGCTTGTTTTCTACATTTATCTTAAATTTTCTGTTGGAGATTTAAAATCAGAGACGTGAAAAAACGGAAAAAAATTAAGATCCATCTTTTGTCTCTAGGAACTCGGTTCCCAAAAGGCCTTTCGTTCAATTCCAGAACTCGTCAATTGGGCCGAATGATGAGAAACAAAACATTCTCCGAAACTTTTTTTATATATGCAGTATAATACTTCAAAAGAAATCAGTAACTAGAATTTGGGATAAAAATTAAGTTAACTGCAGCTGTTTATATTTCACATTTAAATATCAATTGGAAGGTTTTTTTCTGCTCTTGGTCTATCAGAATTTTATTGTAACAAAACAAAATCAACTCTACGACCAAATCAACATAATTTGTCTTTATTTTGTTTCCACATTCCTCCTAACTTCTCTACTGCAGATTTTAATGTGAAAAAAAAACACATCTGTAGTCCACTAATATTGAAACATTCCATCTGTGTAACTTGTAACTTTTTTTTTCTCAGCCCCCACCTGCCAGAAGGAGCAGACTCGAGCCTTCTATGTGGAGAATGGTTGTCGGTCGAAGAAGAAGATAAAACGGGTCCGTTGTGTGGGGTCCTGTGGGAATGACTGCTGTAGACCCAAGAGGATCAAGAAGCGACGCGTACGAATGATATGTCCTGATCACAAGATGTACAGGACTGATGTCGAAATTATCAGAAAGTGCAAATGTTCGAGAAAGTGTTAAAATGGAAAAGCTTTTTTCTTTTTATGTTCGTTGTAATGTACTGGTTTCAGACATTGTGTTCTTTGTCTGCCAACAGAGGGCGACCTGGTTCTACTGTTGGTACTGTGTCTATTACGGAAGCGCCTTAAATGACGTCAAAGAATGAAGAGGCGACAACTACTTACCCTTCCCCTGTGTTAATTTCTCATTCCAGGCCATTCGATCGCCAAGTTAAATCTCTATTCATTATATATATGTATGTGCATGTAAGTGTTTTCGAACTAAAGGCATTTTCCTCCTCTATTTTTTTCTTGCCAGCAATTGCGATATTTCTCATATAGCCCTCAATTTAAAACCAAATAATATCCAGAGAAATCTAAGTTATTCCTTTTGAAAAAAAAAAAAAGTTGCTTTTTAAAAATAACTGAAGTTCGTTCTGCACATTTTTCGTTACAACCCTTAGAATCAGATAAAATTTCTGTTGTGAATGGTAGCGTGTAAAAACTTAGTTTTAAGTTGTTCAGTTTCCCACAAATTCTTGCTTTTGTTCATGTATAGACACACACGAACCTACAGGTTGTAACTAAGGTGTAAACCTCTCTGGACTAGAGATCGAACATTGATGGTTCTATGTTGTAATATATATATATATATCTGAAACGTACAAATGTCCGATTGTACAGCTCTTCTTTCCCCCTGTTTGAGGACCCCTTTGATAATCTTTACAAAACGTATCTTCTTGCTGCAACGTTTCTTTGAGGTCAGCTTTAGCGTGGGTTTTATAATCCATTTTGCTATACAGATGCGAAAAACGAAAACATAACAATATAAGTTCTGAAGTAACAGTTTCTAAGGTACCTAGTGCACTTCAACCGACCATAGTAACAGTAGGATGGAGCTGGTGGCGTTTTCAGTTATCTTATTTATAATACGTGAAACCACCAAAGGTAATTTAAATGTACCAATTTTTTCGATTAGGAAAAGCCAAGTCAGTGTAAACAGTTATTATACGTGGCGAATTAAGACATCTTCTATTTTGTTGTAGTATCAAAATTTCAATATTACCAACTATTGCAGTAAATATGTAAACGTCCATATATGTATGTATCGGTCACGTATAACATCAAAACTTTAAAAAAAAAATACTTTTCATCTAGAAAATAGTTTCATCGGTATTGTTGGTAAAACGCCTCTTTCTTGTAACAAAAACAATTCTGTAAACAAATTAACATGTTTTAAACCTTCTTTAATTGGCAACTTAATTGGACTATATTTAACATCCAAATTTAACCGTTTTACTTAGTTTAAAAGTTTCCCCCTAGAGTTGTGTGAAAATAAGATGTTGGTTTACACAAGCTGTAACAAATGTGATTGGTGTACGTAGGGGAAGATTGTAGGTATACATTGTTGTGTTTCGTTGGTTCTGGTTTCACTTTGATTTTTACTTATTTATGTTGTGATTTATTCGTTTTAATATATTCTCGTTTCATCCACTGATTTTAAACTCAACAAAATAGAACATTAAACACATTTCCTAAGTTATTTTTTATTTCATCCAATCAGTATGTTTACTTGAACTTCAACATCCAGCTTGCAATCTGAAATAAGGGCAGTAAATTTTAACTGCTGTATATATGAGAGACCTCTAGTGTTTACCTACAGAGTTTACCTTTCACTTGAAAAACAAAAGGCATTGTTCTTCTCTTGTATCATAGTATTTTGAAAGTACCGCGTGCCCGTTCTTTTTATTACTACTGGAGTAATTGAGGAACAAAATTAGGCCAGTTCATCGCAAGTCTACGACTCTTATGTATTACAGCATGTATTTAACTTAACTTGTAATCGAGGTCCTTTTTTATAGATTGTTTTAAGCTTAAAAAATGCTGTTATTCACACAAAAAAGAGCTATTTAAAGCTCGAAAAATTGCTATAACATTATATATACATATTGGTGTTTAAAAATGTAAAAATTATCAAACAACCAGTATTCAAAAAATAACTTCGGTTGAATGCAAACTATTCTAGCATTTGTGAAAGAAAAAACAAAGGTTTGCTTTACATTTCTAATTTATCTGTGTTTTTAAGTTGTTTTATATATTTTTAACTCGTAATATCATTTAGACCTATGACCGTTATCAGTTTGATAAAGATGTGATCGTACTGGTCTTGAAAATTTACGTCAGTAAGTTATGTAAAATAATTTCCATTATAATCTACTAACACAGAGATTGGTTCAATTTATTCAAAAAATGAAAATAAACACTTTGGATGATCACTGCATTTGAAGAACAACAACTTCGTCTCATGAAAAAGGGCACTCAAAATCTTACTCCCACTAGTAAATCACTTTATTACGATGCTAAAAACGTAAAGGCTGAAATATTTAATAACAAAACGACAACCGAACCAGAAAAGCCTGTTTGAATGAATGCCGGTTATGTAGTTGATAATATTTTCTATTGGTAGTAAAAATGTTATTTTGTTTGTCGTACACTCACAGCTGTAACGCATTTTATTTAGCTAAAACAGTACTTAAAGTATCGAGCTCCTTAAGAAATATATTGTGGCCACTAAGCACTTATTACAATGCTTTTAGTGCATATTGCGTTTTATTGTTGAAGAATGTACAATGTACATTATCATGGTAAAAATACAAGATCTTGCCGAATTGTTTCTCGGTGTTATTGTTGTTATAACAAACAATTACGCTTTTTGAAATAAATCCGTGTTTGTGTGTGTTTTCACATTTTCCTAACCAATGGCTACTTTATATGTCTATTATTACTCACGTAGACCTTTTTCTTTATAAAATCTTATGAAATTGCCTAAAATTTATTATGTGAAATTATATTACTATGTTTAAAATATGAAAAGTTTAAACCATTTTTGTAGTTTGAATTAAATTTTAGCCTAAAAGCTGTACAGATATTTACTTAAGTAAATAACATCGCGGAAACTTGTGTAAATTTAGGCTTCGCGTTATGGATAAGATGATTATTTAAAAATGACCCAGGCACAACTGGTCATAAAATCTATTGGGTTGCTACGTATATTTAACCTTTTTCTTTTCCCTTTTGATAATTTACACAAACGTTTGAGGCCTAATACATAATAACGTCATAGAATGTACGCATCTGATGTATAAATTCTGCACTTTTCAGTGCATTTTGTTTAGTTTTTTAAATATCATAAGTGTAAAAATCCGGGCTCATGTTACTTGGTAGTGCATGCTTCTAAGGAGGTCAACATATATTTTACTCCTCGCTGTAAGTGATGTAACTATGTTGATGATGTAAATTTATCAATTTAGTGAATAAATGTATTGAGTTTGATTCTTCTTTACCCACTGGAGTACCGATTTACTTTCGAGCAGTATAGAAAAACCAAAAAAACATTTAAAATCTATGGAAAGACAGACCCTAAAATCATTACAATTCAAAAGTTAAAAATTAGTGCAGTATCGATAAAAAGATTTTTTTTTTTTACTTTGCTCTCCGGTGGTTCACCGGTAAGTTATCTGGCTTATATAGTTAAAAATCAGGATTCGATACCAAACTCTTGGAAATTATAGTAATATCGATAAATGCATATAAAAAAAAACAACAACGAAAAGAAACGTTTTCCTCAGGTGGTTCAGCGATAAATTATCGTTAAAAATCGGGATTCGATACCCGCAATGAGAAGAGTACAGATAGCCCATTGTGTAGCTTTGCGATTTAAAACAAATAAACCAAATTTTCACTTTTTTTTTTTATTAACCGAATATTCATTTGAAATTAACCCAAAAATATATATAACCTATAAACTGAAACTTGTGTGTCGAACAAAATTAACTGTTTTCTACATGAACAACTGTATTTATACTATAGGCGTCAGAACATCAGAAACATGTCACCTGAACATGGAAAAACGATGTGGACAAAATAAACAAAAGTTTTAATATTTACAACCGATTTAAAAACAAAAAACGTGAATTTTAAATAACAATTCTTTCTAATATTTAATTTCTGACAAAGTTTGATCGCTAATGTGATGGCTGCACTTCGCGTTTTCAGTAACTTTTTTCTTTTTTTTGGCAAACGAAATTAAGTCTACAGTTTTATGTTTGTTCTGTTGCATTTCATGCAAAGCTACTCGAGGGCTAGTCCTTCCTAATTTTAGTGATAGACAGCTAGTCAACATCACCCACTGCCAACTCGTGATCTACGTTAATCGAATTGTGGGGATTTGATTGTCACTCTTATAATGCACCTATGGCTCCAAATTGCGGCAACCCTGGATTCACAGTCCAGCACGCTAACCATTGGGCTGTGCTCGGCCCAACAGTTTTACGAAAATCTTACCACTTAGAGTATTAATTATCTATTTTAACTAAACATTAATACAACCAACGAGTTTAAATTTACTTGAATCGTCTTAGAACAATATTACGTCGATAAGTTTATTTTAAGAAAATGAACCGATAAAATATACATCAATATTAGAGATAGAATGAACAAGCAACTACCAGGGTATTTCTAATAACAAAGACGTTTCGAACTTCATTTCCTGTTCACAATTACAGTTCAAGAAATACTACGAAAATCTGTAACGTAAGACTTGAAGCCTAATATATAATAATGCTATAGAATGTATGTATCTGATGCATGAATTCAGCACTCTTTAGGGCATTTCTTTTAATCCCAGAAAAAGTAAAAATCCGGGTTTATGTAACTTTGTATAAGGTGTACAAAACAAGTGTCATCATTGTAAAGTAAAACAAGAGGGAATCCTCAATAGCCGTGGCACTTGAAATTCTGTTAGGCAGGATTAGAGTAAGTTAATCTACGAGACTTTTTTCTTTTTCTTAGCTGTATTTTTGTGCGCCAGCAATACCAAGCGTGGGGCGCACGTATACCCGATTCGATTTTATTACTCATCAGGATCTCTACCAGCCTATTCTCATATTGAAATTCTTTTAGGCAGGATTAGGAGTAAATTAATCTATGAGACCTTGGGCGTGGTCAAATAAATCAATCAAAAGGTTTTGACCTCCTGCGTCGAAAACTGTAAT